TGCGTAGCACCTGACACGCTGTGGCTTGTCAACACTTGCAATGGCGCTTTCCATGGACCCCTAATGTCGCCATGACATAACTCGAATTATAAAACAAATAGTTCTGGTCCTTGATTCTGATTGGCTGAGCCGCGTTCGAAGCCGTTGTAAATAACTCTACAAACATACACCTTTGTTTACGTCTGTGTTTTGCTCGGCAACCAATTTGTTGGAACTACATTGTTTGGCGGAAGAATAATGTTTTTATTATCATTACACTTTATTTGCTCGGTTTGATTTTGTGAAACCTTACCACGTATATGGAATAACCGTTTTATAAAAGTAATAAGCCCCGTGAAGCCGTGGTTTACAGTGAATTTATAACAACGCCCCTTAGCTGTTATAAATTCACTGTAAACCACGGCTTCTTGGGGCTTATTGCTTTAGTGACTGACAGATAGAGAACGTCTCGGTTATGTAGGTAACCCTCGTTCCCTGATGGAGGAATGGAGAAGTTATGTCCCCATGCCACAACCTCGAACCATCACTGGTTGCCAGGGACAAGTTCTCGGCTCCTCAGCATAAAACCTGATGAGTGGATGCACCTGTCGCCTATTTATACCCGTATGCACGGGGAGTGTCAGCATGCAAAATCCACTAGCCAAATTTCATTGGCGCTTTCTCTTAATCAGAGAGGATTCGGGCTCCCAAGTAAGACCCCTAATGTCATCACGACATAACGTCTCCATTCCCTCCATCAGGGAACGAAGGTTAAGTTTTCTGTCGTGTCTCTGGTTGTAGGTGCTGAACTGCATTGTGGACATGGTGGAGAAGACGCGGCGTTCGGTGAGCGTTCTGCGGCGCTGTCAGGAGTCCGACCGCGAGGAGCTCAATTATTGGCGGCGACGCTCCAACCCACACGACGACGGGCGCAAGAACGGATCGGCTGCAGGGAACGTCCCATTCAGCAAGACACACAGCCCTCTGTCGGCAGAGGGAGTCAACACAGGTGAGTCATTTAGGAGTTCAGAATCATTCCAAGTTTGATTCACCTTTGTTTATAATGCTTTATACAATACATAAAGCAGCTTCACAGTATTAAACGGCTAAATAACAGAATCAGTGATGCAAACGTCATCAAACATGAGACAAATTCTGCTGTAAAGCAGCTCTAAAAACACAATAGTGTCATTATTCAGTTCAGTATTGATTCAGTTCAGTTCAAGAACTGTTCATTTCATTAATTATGAAACAAGTTAATAATTCAGTGTTAACTGAAGACAACAGAACAATAATTAATCATGAATGATTCAATTTAGCTATAAGCAGCTCTACAGAAGACAATAGTGTCATTATTCAGCTCAGTGTTGATTCAGTTCAGTTCAATAACCGTGTAAAGTTCATTAATTGTGAAACAAGTTAATTCAGAGTTAACTAAAGACATGAATCAATTATGAACTAATTTGATTCAGCTATAAAGCAGCTCTACAGAAGACAATAACTTTATCATTCAGCTCGATTCGATTTGGGAAGTCGTGGCCTAATGGTTAGAGAGTCGGACTCATAACCCAAAGGTTGTGGGTTCGAGTCTTGTACCGGCAGGGATTGTTGGTGGGGGGAGTGAATGTAAAGCGCTCTCTTCCACCTTCAATACCACGACTGAGGTGCCCTTGAGCAAGGCACCGAACCCCTGACTGCTCCCTGGGTGCTGCAGCATAAATGGCTCCGGGTGTGTGTTCACGGTGTGTGTGCACACTTTGGATGGGTTAAATGCAGAGCACTAATTCCAAGTATGGGTCACCATACTTGGCCACATGTCACTTCAGTTCAAGTTTTGTTTTCATCCGATAGTTTCAGTGCAGTCAAATTGATAATATTACTGAATATTTAAGGGACAGTTCACCCAGTTGACGGTAGCCATTGACTTCCATGGTAAGGAAAGGAATACTATGGAAGTCAGTGGCTACCGTAACTGTTTGCTCACGACATTCTTCAAAATATCATCTTTTGTGCTCAAAAGAAGAAGGTAACTCGTACAGGTTTGGAACAGCATGAGGATAATAAATGGCAGAATTTTCATTTTTGTGTGAACCGTCCCTTTAAGTGTCTTTTAAAACCCAACTAGCAGACGAAGTTGTGTGTGTGTGTGTGCTTGAGAAAGAGCCTGCTGATGGAGCAGGTGTTGTGTATTTGAGTCCAGGCTGAGAGAATATCGTCTCAAGCGCTGTGGTCTGGCCTCGTTCCTCACCGCCATCTGTGGCCAAACGTTGCCCAAAACTCTCCAAGTGGCTCACGTGCCTCCATATCCGTCCCTCCTGCATGCTTCTGAAGTGTTTCGATGCTCCTAATGTATTTGTTTTTGTGTCCCACAGACTCTCAGAGGGATCTTCCCCTGCGCGCCGGCTCTGGCTACATGCCTGATGAGATATGGAGGAAAGCCGGTAAGGGCGGCAACCCAGATGCACCCTGGGAAACCTGTTTTCTCCTCTGCTACCTGTTCATCAGTCTTGTTTCTCATTAATCACACTTTCAGTCTCAAAGCTCTTTGCTGGATACTGATACTTGTTTTATCACAAGAAAATACGGTGCATGAAACAAAATGTTGATGCATATGTGGTTTGATTCTGCAGAGGAAGCGGTGAACGAGGTGAAGCGTCAGGCGATGGACGAGGTGCAGAAGGCCGTCACCGAGGCCGAGCAGAAAGCCTTCGAGATGATCACCGCCGAGAGAGCCAAGATGGAGAAAACCCTCGCCGAGGCCAAGAGGAAAGCTACCGAAGACGCCATACAGGTCATCAATGAGCAGGAAGACTCCAGCGAGGTGAGCGTCACGCTGAACACACATTCATTCAGTCACCGACCGCAGATGCTGCATGCACTGATATAGCAATGCATCATGAATATTTAAATTGGGTCATTCTTTTCTGGCTTCCTTTTTATGCAAATGAGGCTCATTATAATGCAAACATTCGCCTGATTGAATCAACATTTGGTTATTTTAAAATCTAAACTGGGTGCTAGAACAGAAATGCACAGAAAGTGCATGCAAGTAACAAATATCACTATTAGAAGACACAATATTAAATAATCATACAAATATTACAGTATTACACATCAGCATTCCAAGGTTTGGGTTTTAATGTTAAGATTTTTTTTTGCTCACCAAGGCTGCATTTATTTGATCACAAATACAGCAAAAACAGTAAAATTGTAAAATATTATTAGAATTTAAAACAGCTATTTTCTATGTAGATATCTGTTAAAGTTAATTTATTCCTGTGATCAAAGCTGTATTTTCAGCATCATTCCTCCAGTCTTCAGCATCACACGATCACATCCAAAATAAAAGTATTTATTGAAAGTATTTTCAAAATATATTCTGTATGTGTGTCTTTTATATACATAAATATACACAGTACACACACATAAATTATATAAACAAAACCTTTTATTTTGGATGCAATTATTGTTGCCCAGCACTAATAGCACTAATACTATATATATATATGAGCATCATTCCTCCAGTCTTCAGCATCACACGATCTTCAGAAATCATTCTAATATGCTGATTTGCTGATCAAGAAACATTTCTGATTATTATCAATGTTGAAAACAGTTGCTCCGTCCAATATTTTTGTGGAAACTGATATATTCATTTTTTCAGGATTCACTGATGAATAGAAAGTTCAAAAGAACAGCATTTATTTGAAATAGAAATCTTTTGTAACATTATAAATACCTTCACAGTCACTTTTAATCAATTTAATGCATCCTTAATGAATAAAAGTATGAATTTTTTCCTGAAAAAAAATCTTGCTGACCCCAAACTTTTGAATGATAGTGTATATACCATGGTATTTAACAATGTACCATGGTACTACTAAACATAATTACTGATTTACATAAGTTTTAATGTCACCTTTAATCAATTTAATGCATCCTTGTTGAATAAAAGTAAATAAACAACCAAAAAACTTAAAAATTAACTTAAAAATAAATATGTATTAAATTAAATATTAAATTAATATTATATTTTATATATGCACTAATACTATATATATATATGTATATATGTGTGTCACTTTTAACCAGTTTAATGTTTAATGTGTTTATTTGTGACCCTGGACCACAGAAATTGAGATTTATATGTCATCTGAAATCTGAATAAATAAGCTTTCCATTGATGTATGGTTTGTTAGGATCGGACAATATTTGGCCGAGATACAACTATTTGAAAATCTGGAATCTGAGGGTGCAAAAAATCTAAATATTGAGAAAATCATCTTTCAAGTTGTCCAAATGAAGTTCTTAGCCATGCATATTACTAATCAAAAATTAAGTTTTGATATATTTACGGTAGGAAATTTACAAAATATCTTCATGAAATATGATCTTTATTTAATATCCTAATGATTTTTGGCATAAAAGAAAAATCTATAATTTTGACCCATACAATGTATTGTTGGCTATTGCTACAAATATCCCCCAGCGACTTAACACTGCTTTTGTGCTCCAGGCTCACATTTGTCATTACTTAATAAGTATATATAAAAGTATTAGTTTAGTGATATATTTAAAAGTGTAATGTTTCTATATTTATAATGTAATGTTTAATAACTGTAAGCAGTCATTTTTCTGATTCGCTCACGCTCTCTCTCTGGTCCTCAGTGCTGCTGGAACTGCGGTCGGAAGGCGAGCGAGACGTGCAGCGGCTGTAATGCGGCGCGTTACTGCGGCTCCTTCTGTCAGCACAAGGACTGGGAGCGACACCATCTCATCTGCAGCCCGGGGCTCCAGACGCAGCCCAAATCCATGCCACGCATCCAGGCCAAAGCTCCGGAGAGCGGCCCGGTCCCGAGTCCAGGCCTAGAGAAAGCCTCCAGAGCGTCCACACCAGCCACCCCAGCCTCGTCCTCCTCCATGCCAGACACCAGCGGACACTGAGAGCCAAGGACTCAATGAAAGAGGGGTTTAACCGCTGGATGTGACTGAAGCAGGACCGTCACACACACTTTTCCAGTTTATGGACAGGAGGACGTGTTTTGGCATCGCTTGGTGTGACTCAGCTTGCTTTTTTTTGACCCTGGACCACAAAACCAGTCATAAGGGTCAATAAATAAGCTTTCCATTGGTGTATGGTTTGTTAGGATAGGACAATATTTGGCCGAGATACAACTATTTGAAAATCTGGAATCTGAGGATGCAAAAAAATCTAAATATTGAGAAAATCATCTTTAAAGTTGTCCAAATGAAGTTCTTAGCAATGCATATTACTAATCAAAAAATAAGTTTTAATATATTTACAGTAGGAGATTTACAAAATATCTTCATGGAACATGATCTTTACTTAATATCCTAATGATTTTTGGCATAAAAGAAAAATCTATAATTGTGACCCATACAATGTATTTTTGGATATTGCTACAAATATACCCCAGCGACTTAACACTGCTTTTGTGCTCCTGGGTCACATTTGGTGCAGATGTGATCTGCTTTACCTGCACAAACTGTTGTCAGTGTTTCGTGAGCGTTTGTTTGTGTGAGTGTGTGATTGTGTCTGTAAATACAATATCAGAGCAATATAAAAGTGATGGATTCACCAAAGCTGTCAATGCTGTGACATGTTCATGTTTCGTTCCTGTTCCAGACAGTTTATCGTTATTATCTGACAATTTTATCAATGGAGAGTGAGTGTATGTATGTATGTGTGTGTTAAACGTGGAGGACAAACCCTGGTCTGAAGGGACCAGTTTTGATCAGGGTCCAGATGTACAATTAACAGCTTCCAGTACAGAATAAGTGATTTATCAGATCCACCGATCAGTTCGTCTGTTTGTGTCCACACATGCAAAACTCTGCAATCTCAGGAGGATGCTATATGTATATACTTTTATTTGTGTTAGCATATATTAAACTATGATATGATATGATATGTCACATATATAATATAACACCAGAAACATGATACCTCATGCCTTCTGTTCTGGACCAATTCTGAGAAGCCTCACTTTTCTGTTCTAAATAAAATACTTGTACACACACACACACACACACACACACACACACACACACATGAGATAGTGAATTGGTGGGTTTTTGATAAATGCGAGCCAAAATCATCACAATTAAAAGAACCAAAGACTTAAACTACTTCAGTCTGTGTGCATTGAATTTATTTAATACACGGGTTTCACAATTTGATTTGAATTACTGAAATAAATGAACTTTTCCACGACATTCTAATTTATTGAGATGCACCCGTATATATATTTTTTTTTTCATTTTAATTTTACAATTGTAATTTGTTTGCCATTTTATGTCTACAGCACATATCATTTTGATAAATTTTTCATTTATTTTTACTTTTAATTACTTTATTAGGCTACTTCAAGTTCAACTAAATAAAAATGAGAACTGTTTCCTTTCAGTTACTTTTATTAGCTAAATTTCAAGTAACAAAAATGTTTTTTTAATTATTTTAGTTTTAGTTATAATGAGTCCCAAACACCAGCAGAAGAGGGAGACAGAGAGAACAGCACATGCTCACCATGAATACTAACTGATTACTAATTAATAGTATAAGGACTTTTCGCATTGTTTTTTGATGAACATAGTGCATCATCTTTGCATATACAAATTTTGCATATCACGCACCCTCTACATTCTAAAGTATTAAAAGTAGTATGGTAGTTTGTCATTTTCATATATAGGCCTACATACAATCTCATTGGTTTTATCAATATCATTAACAAACATTATATATTACATTTCATATAAATATATGACTGGATGTTTAACAACATGTGACTATTTTAATATATATTAAAGGCATAGTTCACCCCAAAATGAAATTTTGTCAAAAAATTAACTTGCGCTCAGGCCATCCAAGAAAGGAATGTTATGGATTATGGACTCATATTTTAGATGAAAACACCATAATGATGAATTTGTTACTTACAAGCTTTTGTCTTCTCCAGATGTTAACTGATGGACTGGAGTGCTGTGGATTACTTGTGGATTATTGTGCTGTTTTTATCAGCTGTTTGGACTCTCATTCTGACGGCACCCATTCACGGCAGAGCATCCATTGCTGAGACACTGATGCAATGCTACATTTCTCCAAACCTGATGAAGAAACAAACTCATCCTAATCTCAGATGGCCTGAGGGTGAGCACATTTTCAGCAAATCTTTTTTGTGTAAACTACTCCTTACTGTTAAGCATCATCTAATATGACACTGTTTGTTAATGCCATTCATGTTTAGTTTTTATAAAGTGTTACTAATATATTCCTATCATAAATAAGGAAGCAGATGTTAGAATTTATTCGAGTGCATGTGAGATTTTTGCACATTTTTTAATCACTGTCCAATTACTCTTGTTGACAAGAACTTAAAAGTCCCAATTACTGTCTGTCGTCTGAACGCTGAATGTTTCTGCATCATTTCAGAAACACCATGCACTGAGACGTAAGGAGGAAAAAACACTGAACCGTGTCATTATGAGAGAGCGAAAGGATCTTTACTAATTACTTGGAAAGATGTAGCTATAATACTTCTGACTTCTAGCATGCTGCTTTATATTCATAGATTCACAAACACAAGCATACAAAGTATAGTAGGATGTTGTGCAGGTATTAGGAAGTGTAAAACCAAAAATGGCTGAAGAACAAAACTAAACACAAAATAATTGTTCGACTTTTATTTTCATTCAATGGACTAAACCACAAAAATGGAAAAAAACTAAAGCAAAAAGTCAAGTTTCTGTTTTTCAGTTAAGATGCATAAATAGTACAACAACTAGCAGGTTTCCATGTTCAATAAAACCAGGATCTTATAGTGTCTATGCAGTGAACTAAAGGAATAGTTCACCCCAAAATCAGCATTTACTCACCCAAATGTTGTTCCATACAGAAAAAAAATACATACATACATGCACATATATATATATATATATGGCCAAAATATATTTTAAATACATGCTAAATATGTTGTAAACAGTGAAAATCTATTAAATATATTTTTCAAATTACTGAAATATATTAAGTTAAAATTTTTCATATACCAATATATATTTTGAAATCTATTTCAGGTGCAAGAAAGCATTTAGGCTTTATTCATTATCTATTTTTATTCAAATGTGTTATATGTTCACACGTTATAGACAACAAATATATATTTTTTCTTAAAATGTGTCATGTTATGTGAATTTATTTTCTTGGATTATAATGAATGGAGGGCTTTTAAAAAATATATATATATATATTTATATTTTTTAAATATATTTTCAAAAATATGGAATTAATTACCAAAGAATATATGGTCAGAAAATATATTTACTTAAATATATATTGAAACATATTTTAGCACATATAGTTTTTGTATTTGTATTTTAAAAACATATTTGAAAAAAAAAAATAATAATAAATCAGAGTAGCTAAATACATGCACAGGTTTGAAACAGCACGAGTGTGAGTAAATGATGCCAGAATGATTCGTTTGGGTGAACTAGTCCTCTAAACACCTTCAGGAAGGTTTACAGAGAAATGACACAGCTGTACATCTTCATTAAATGTCTATTCTATTCACACTCGACTCGAATATTTCAAACTTCTCTTGAGAAATAATCTGTGATCGACCTGTTCCTTGCCTCTAAAACATCTCCTATCGGCATGCAGCTTCATGTTCCAGTATCCAGAGAAGCAAAAGTGACTTTAAAGGTGCTAGACTCAAGTAGCAGATCATTTTGCTAGTGTTATCTTAATTATTTACAAGAACACATGAATTCTTGATTTCCTTCATGTTGTTTTGCTCTGAGATTCGCTGTATCTGCATCAAAGCTACTGGCTTCAAAAGCTTCGTAACGGAATGGAGCAACTACGCTTTGATTGTCTGTACATGCGAGGAATATTACACCCATGCCTGTTAGCGTCGAGCTGAGCACGATTTAGAGCTGAAGATTCAGATCCTTTCCCTTCATGAGTGTGAATCTGAATTGAGTTGAATGCTGAATTGAGAATATACTGAATTGCAACTCCTAAGAAATTTAATACAGAGGAATTTCATTAAAGCTCGAAACAACATAAGCTCTAAAACATCAATATTTACAGCATTACTTTTGGCTGATTATGTCTATTTACATTTTTTTCATCATAAGGGTCAATTTTTTGAAATTGAGATTTGCACATCATCTGAAAGCTGAATAAATAATCTTTCCATTGATGTATGGTTTGTTAGGATCGGACAATATTTGAAAATCTGAAATCTGAGGGTGCAAAAAAATCGAAATATTGAGAAAATCATCTTTAAAGTTGTTCAAATGAAGTTCTTAGCAATGTATATTACTAATCAAACATTAAGTTTTGATATATTGATGGTAGGAGATTTACAAAATATCTTTATGGAACATGATCTTTACTTAATATCCTAATGATTTTTGGCATAAAAGAGAAATGTATAATTGTGACCCATACAATGTATTTTTGGCTATTGCTACAAATATCCCCCAGCGACTCAACACTGCTTTTGTGCTGCAGAGACACATATTTTGCTAAACTGAGTTAAAATTTTCTAAACAAATAAAAAATAAACATTAGCATCAAAAAAAGTAATCTTCAGATATTATATATTCAGTGAAATTAAGTGTTCATCCACTATAGCCCAAAAAAGGAAAAGTAGCCTTGAAAGAAGAATGAAAATAAATGATAAAATAAAATAAATAGATTTTATTTTAATTCAATTTAAATAACTCAATAATTAACTATTATAAAATAACTAAATCAATTATTTAGAATACTTTTACAACATTTATATGGATTTCTTTAAATTTTCTCTGAGTTCAAAATTTAAACAACTCAAGAATTAAATATAATAAAATAATGAAATAAATGATTTAAAATACTTCTACTGCATCTATATGAATTTCTTTAAATGTTCTCTGAATTTAAACATTTCTGCTGCCTGTTTGCAAATTTAATTCAAATTCAAAAAAAAATTGAACTGGAATGTAAAAGCATCTGAAT